AAGCAAAATTCTCCAAGTCTAGCTCTTCTCTCTGTCTCTAGAATGAAGTTTCTCCCTATTTCTCTCTAAACTTCCAGCAACAAATTTATTTCATGGCATGTGATTAGCCTCAAAATAACATATATATAGCTTAGATTAGCTTGGGGCTTTAATAAGGGATCAAGTTAGTTAATTAAAGCTTTAAACAAATGAATCAAAGCTTAATTTACTTGATTTTATTCTAATTAATTTAGACCGAATCAAATTTCAATCAAACTTCTTGTTAAGTTCTAAAAATTATGTTGATCGCAATAAATTGACCAATTTCAATTTTTGACGCCATTAAGGCCTTCAATTTTCAGGTCAAAGCAAAAATCATAGCAAGTTTTCCTACAATCAATAGATATAAAGTCAAAAACCACATTATTCATATAATTAACATTCAAATATACATCTAGCACATAAGCGCTTGCATAATTAAGAAATTAAAAACATAATACAGGACGAGGTTGTCACAGTTATTGTCACATCCTAAACCTGGGTATGACTGGTTGTGGCCCACAGGGACTTAGCCCAAGGCACATATAAGCCTAAACATGAACCCAAAACTACAAAGAATAAATATGACGATAACCCAGAAATAAATATATTAAAACCTAATCTAGTGGCATGTCATAAGTATAAATGACAAAACCAGCCATAGCCAACTTCTAAAAATATATACTAAATGGAACACAAATTGCACACAAAATAAAATAATTCTAAATAAAATCCAACCATAATGTATGCACAAAGCCGACATAACAAGTTAAAACAAAATAATGAACGTCCTAGAGGTCCATGCAATTGAGTCCTCGCTACGCCATAAGTCCACTCTAAGTCCTTCTAACACCTGGAAGTGATAAACAACTAAGTAATTTTCCAACAGTTCAGGGTAGGGGAACTGTCAGGACCCTAAACCCGCCCCTATAGGTTTAGCATCATGACCGGCTAGTAATCACAGATTACCTATAGCCTCTGTACAAATGAACCTCTTAATATAAAGTTCGGCGCTTAGCAGAAGTTTAAAAATGACATAGAAATTATCCATTAAGCTGTGCATTTATGTAGAGAACTAGTATAATAAGCAGAATTTGTTCCAAAAGTACATTTATCAAAATTGTATAAAATTCACGACGTGCAAACATACAACCCTAACAAAACATTTATCAGAAAGCCACTAAAACAAACAAAAAAAGGTTCCGCTAACATGGCTCCACCTAAGCCTGATAACTTCACTTGGAAGCTCCTCAAAAGGCTGACCTGGGGTAGACTCGAGGATTTCTAACTCTGATGTTCATCTTGTCCACCTATATATATAAATATAAATAAATAGTGAGCTAGAGCCCAGTGAGTAATAACAGAATAAAGAGGTTAAATGAATAAAGCTTAATAACATTCTCAAACCAAATTTCATTTCATCATCAAGATCTTTATATCATTTTATGTGGTACATCCATTAAGTGACAACATTCCAGTGATAACGGGCCATACTAGAGATCTTTGTGTGTCGATCAATCCAAAAGTCATGGTATTGTTTCCCCCAGGTAAGGGCCTATATTCAATGGATGCCACAATACCGTTTCAAAACAGAACTTTATTCATTATAAAAAAATAACATTTCAATAATCCATGCTATCAATTATCAAATCATTTCAATAATTCATTCACTTAATCACATATCCATTCGATAGCAATAACATTTTCGAAAGTAAAGATAATTTGAACATATCTTTATAAAGTTATTACTCACAGTGGTTTGTGGTGTCACTAAGCCTCGGACATTTACCTAAACAAAACACATAACAAAAGCACAATTGAAACACCACTTCATTTTAATTCAATTCTTCTTCTGTGTTTCTAACTCATTCTACGAATATATGAGTCCAAATGGTGCCTAAGAACACGTGGAGTGACATGATGATGCATAATTGTACTTAAAAGAGTTTCTCAAAATTTGCTGAAAACATGGTCTCCGCTCGAGTGTAACATCATTCGCTTGAGCGGGGGTTCAAAAATAAAGGTGGTCACTCGAGCGCAACTTTTGTCGCTCGAACAATCTGTAAACTTGGCAAAAGTACTGGTTGCTTGAAATTTTCGCTCGATGGTCGCTCGAGCGGAGGACTAAGTAAAAAGTGTCCTCGCTCGAGCGCCACTTTGGTCGCTCGAGTGGCCTGTAAAATTTTACAAAACTTCTAGGAGCTTAGTTTTCACGCTCGAGCGAAAAGAAGCTTTCTTCGCTCAAGCAGACAACATGAATTCTGGAATTTCCAGAACTATGTTTGAGCTTCAAATTGGCATTCAAAGGTTTCAAACTCATGTTTTAGGTACGAAAACATGGAAAAACATTATAAAACATGGGAATATAGTTAATTTGAAATCATTGTTCAAATTCATGGATCAAATTCTCAAAATTTAGCTTAAACTATGGACTTAAAACCATGCAAGAGAGGAACTCTTTAATCTCTTTGCAACCTTGACCAAATGGTATGAAAAGTGTAAGAACATGAAAAACTCTTCAAATAGATCTGTAAAGGTTCAATGCATGTAGAGAATTTCACAGAATTCAAACTCAAATCGGTGATTCATGCATGCATATATGCAATCATGCTCAATTCTTTCTTAACCAAGATGATCCTAGTATATACTTTCTAAATTTATGCAAGTGACCACATAGCTTGGTGAATTCACTTCTTATATGAATTATCTACAAGAATTGAGTGTGGTTTCCATACCTAGAGTTTAAATTCAAGTGCAATCCTAGCTCAAATCTTCAAGTCTACCACCAATTCTCTACAAATTCTCCTTTCACTTTCTAAGGTGTTGAGTTCTTAGCTTCCTTCCTTCAAAATCTTAGCTCAAATGTTGTATATGTGAGTTCATAAGATTAATGGACCTATTTATATGATATGATTAGCTTAGCCTAATCAAGGTTGATTAAGGTTAATCAGCTAGGCTCAATTCTAACTAATTTCAATCAGTTTATTCTAATTATTTTGATCCAAATCAGTTTTCAATTAAAGTTGCCATAAAATTCTAAATATTCTAATTAGTCTATTACGCTAATCAATTTCTATTTCTGAAGCCGTCTAGGCTCTCAATTTCTGTCTTTAGGTTGTCAATTGAATAGATATTCCATGTAACAATAGATAGCTATAAAATTAAACATGTAATCACACAATTAAATACACAGTCATGCAATTAGACTTATTAAAATAGCATAATATAATAGTTCAGCGGTCAGGGTCATACATTTATAAAAATATGTAACACGCAATTACTCACCTGCACATAGTATAATATAATCCTTGAATAAAGTATGAAAGTTCAACCAGTACCCTGAACAAAGTATTAAAATTACACGTCACTACTAATTCAAACATGCTAAAATGAATAATAAACTAAGTAACCCCAAACTAAAGTGCACTAACATCGCTCAACCCCACTCATCGTTACTCTTAAATAATACTTAAGTTCATGTTCTTCAAGGTCTCAAATTACTCATGACATGGGTTCAGATCGAAACTTAATTAAAAGTAATTAATTTTAAGATAAAACAGAATTTTAAACAAGTTTGCCCAATCTATTCTCTAACTTTGAAAATTAAATACCCACTCTAAGCCGTTTGAAAAATTCCAAAACTCTCCAGATAACAACTAATATAACCTATGTTTCAAACCCAAATGGTTTTACTTGATTTGCTTAACAAAATAATTATTTACAATTAATTAAGCCCAAACAGATTGTTTTCTGTAGCACTTTAAAGAATTTAATGGTTCTCTGAGTATACACAAGCAATCAATGCAAGGCTAAAAATGTAAGAAACTAGACTCGTATCCGGTTCTAATAATGCTGATTTGATAATTTTCAGATTTATACCCAAAAAGAACGATACTTTCGAGGTTACTGTTTTGTACTAGTTTTCTGGACAGATTTGAACGAGCCAGTTAATATAGATTTTGATTCCCAGAAATTATAATAAAATTCTGGTATGCAATTCAATATGTAATTAATCTACTGATTCATCTGTTTGATATGGTTTCTTAACTTTTAAAGTTTGTGATTTTGTGCAAAATTTTTTAACTAAGAATTACTCACATTCCTTATACATAATTTTTCTCCTCAAATTTCTTAACAGGGTATAAATATATACAAAATACATACACTTATAATCTCTCCATCAATGAATTAAATAATAATAGAGTAAGGATAAAGAACAAAAACAAAAAGAAGAAGAAAGATAGAAACCTACTACACACCCAAAATCCTTCCTTGTTTGCAAACTTTTTTTTTTTTTTTTCCTTCTTTCCTCCACTCTACCTCTACCTCTCTCTCGTGGCTGTTGCTACTGCTATAAATTGTAATAGGCAACCTAGGGTTCCTATATGTACATATAAAAACAAAATGTTCTAAATTATTATCTTTTGTTTTATTTTTCTCTCTCCATTAATTTGAATAAAATACAACTATTACTAGATCAAAATATACTAACTAATTTGTCTACTATTTTTTTTAATAATAAATCTTACTTCAAAATTAAAGACTTTCACTATAAATTTATTTTAGGTTTTAAAATTAATTATAAGATCGTTCATTAATATTTAATTTACACATTAAGATTCACATGTAAAATATTTGGGATTTATAACGTAATTATTATTTAATTATTTATTTTGTTTGTATATTCGAATTCTCATAGTTACTCTTGCTCCTAGTAATGGGACCTAGGATTCATGCTTCATTGCAATATAAAAATTTAATGGCCAGGTAAACATCATTACATGTGGATTGGTTGAGGCTGTACAATTTTATTGGCTTGAACAGCTTTGTCTTATTGCCTATCAATATGGGTCGGAAAAGTTGAATCATGAAGAAAAGAAAATTATCATCACATGTTTTTGTTTCATATTGCAATTGGATTTGGTCCCATTATATATTAAGTTCACTAGTCCTGTTAGCTGTGTCTGTGTTTATCAGGCTTCTTGTGCTTTTGGAATGGTGGTTGAGGTGTTTATTTGTTTCTGTTTTAGTTGATTGCTTTCTTTGGGGGTGCTTAGCCTATGATAGAATGGGCTTTTTGGTGTCAACATAGTTGGGATGATCTAGCCTATTGTGATGCTTTTTGCACCCTCCCCTCTTTATTAATGTTTAGATATTTTTGTGTGTACATCTTGTACCTTTCATCGTTATCAATAAAGTTTTATTTATTTTGCCGATCAAAAAAAATAAAATACAATAAAAAAAACAATATCAAAACAGGAAGTGCTTTTTTTATTTGCAAGTGGTGAAGCTGGGATAAGAAGTATGATAACTTGACAGCTGTCAGTGTTCAATAAAGTGAAGGACCTTGCGTATTGTAGCATGATCATATTTACACCATTATTATTCCTTCACCATGCTTGCTTCAACTATATTAGTGGTTGTTTGCCAGGTATTGGATACAGCTTAGACCTTACTGTTCTATCAATTTATTGGTATGCAAATTCCTTTTTTCTTTCCCCCTCTTTTTACTTCAAATTATCATTCACATGTGTTATTTCTTTCATATTATTGCTTGTGCTAGCCCTGGGATTTAGTGGCAAAGAAAATTCTAGGGTATCGCTTCTATGTTTTTTCAAATATTCAACCACAATTCTAATTTGAACTTCATCAAATTTCTAGATCCTTTTCATGAGGTGAAGACCAAACGAGAAAAGAAAAAAGGGGGGTGTGGCTGTGAAAAATGCTGAAAATCTCTGATTTGTATTTTGGATAGTTGACTTTCCCCTTTTAGAGCTTGGTCATGTATGACTAATGCTTTCTACCGTTCCGGTCCTACCGGATCTGATGAAATTGTGGCCTTTTTGTTTTTTGATTTCTCTGCTGTTTTCCCTAATGTCATAACATGAGATTAGGATGACCACGTGTTTTACTATGCACAAGGGACTTGGATATTTTTTCCTGCTTCTGGTGGAATAGGGTAAGCTTATTATTGCAGCTCTGTTAAGCTTGAGATTTATTGATAGCGCTCGTTAAAGGCTCACCTTGTCAGCCATTTTCACTTGTCTTGTGTTCATTGTTTCAGAATAAGGATATAACAGAATCCAGGTCACATGGCTTTAGTAACTCTTCAAGTCGTGGGAGTTAGGGGTGGCACTGATCATTATGTTGGATGAGGTGGCTCAACCCAATTCAGCACTTCTGGTATGCTGATGGAATTGCAATTTTTGGCAAGAGTTCATTCTTTGAATTCTTGTACTTCTTGTTTGATCTTGACACTCGTTTCCTTTTCAGAGTCTGGAGTTTTACTTGGTAAACCTTCATACAAGAAGGAAAATGGAACAAATAATTACACAAGTGCTTCATCTTTAGCATCTGAAATGGCAGGAAATAATATGAATCGGTGACCCCCAGCCCACAGGTTAGTCCTGTTATAATCTCAAATGTGTGTTTCTTATCTGTATTTGTAAACCAAGGAGCTTTCATGCCACTAAATGGTATATGGTTATACTGTGTATATGGCATTCATGAAATTCATTGGAGTGACATGCTTCCTTTTAGCAATCAATGCCACATCTTGTAATTAAAAGATGCCCTCTACAGGTACTTCTTTGAGACAGGTTGTGGAGGTTTATGATTCTGATATACAAATGTGCACTGGATAAGTTGCGGATATCTAACCAATTTGTACTCTTCTTTGTGTTGGAAGCTTGGAGTAAATCTGAACCTTTTAGCATTAGCTTTTCTTTGGGCTGTTGGTTGCAAAGCAAGAAAAAGGCTTCAAGATAGACCATGGCAAATGGGTCCTTAGTCTTATTGTACCATGATCATTCAGAATTTAGCTATTGTTCAAAGTTGTGATTTTAAAGATAGTCCTGCAAAAAATCTAATCTACCTCCTTTACTTTTTTGGTGTTGCAGCTTAAAACTTTTACTCGAAGCTATACTTAATTATTGGCATCGATGAGGAAAATTACTTGAAGCTATACTTTTTTGGTGTTGCAGCTTAAAATCTGATGGTTAAAGGATAATTTACTTTCCAAAAATGATTTGGACCCCCAATTTTTCAAACCCCCAGTGACCCCCAGTGTTTTCCTATTGGCTGAATTTTTTTTTTTTTTTTTTTTTTTTTTTTTCCAATCACAGAGCCCCATGTGGAGTGGGGGTGCTGGGATTCCAGCACGGTTGTTTATACATAAGAAAAATGATTTATACCCCCACTGGGAGTCGACCCCCAGTGAGGTGGAGGCCTATGATTGGTATTGGCTGGAATTTTTTTTTTTTTTTTTTTGTTTTCTATCTGCCAATCACAGAGCCCCATGTGGAGTGGGGGTGCTGGGGGTCACCCCCACTGGGGGTCCCCAGTACGGTTGTTTACTTTCAGAAGTAAATTGTAGGTAGCATAGGAAAACACGTACTACAATCAACGGGTATGTGGGTAATATAGGAAAATGCGTAATACAGACAAGGAACCAAAGAGATTTATGGTAGTAAATCTGTCCTTGCTATATTTGGTCTTAGTTTCTATTTGACTTACGTAAGTTTTTACAATGTTGTGTAACCTTTGTCTGCATCCTCTTATATGATGGTTGTCTGTTTGAGAGAAGGAAAAACTTTGGGAATGACGTGACAGTCATCCCCTTTTTATATTGATAATACGAAGTTTACAATAGAAGCCTTTAGGCACAAATAAGTAAAGTTCACAATAAGGAAATTACAGCTAGGTCAAATCATAGCGTAATATTTTAACATAATATTTTAACACTCCCCCTCAAATTGGTGTGTAGATATATCTCATGTCCAGCTTGCCAAGAATATCATGAAATATTTTACTCTCCTCCACACCTTGGTGAGGATGTCTGCAAATTGTTCATCAGACTTCACAAAAGGAGTAGATAATATGCTGCTAGTGAGTTTCTCATTGATGAAGTGGCGCCCAATCTCAACATTTTTTGTCCTATCATATTGAACCAGATTGTGAGCTATGTTGATTGCAGCTTTATTATCACAATATATGTCACGACCCGAACCCACCTTTAGAGGTTAGGATCATAACCGTCCAGTAATCATAAGTTTACATACGACCTCAGATAGAAATCAATTAATTATACGGGGCTAGAAGCGAAAGCAGAAATATAAAATTTGTCCAATAAGCTTGTGCATAAATGGTATGAACAATAATATCTCATATATATTAATAACTCACACCCATATGTACATAGGAAATCTCACATGTCCAAGATCATATATATGTAATTAACATACAAACCAAAACTTATATACAAATGCAATCAAACATGATCAACAAAAGAAACAGAAAGTCAAAAGACAGAAGTCTTGTACGTGAGGCATCCTTGGCTGACTCCACAAAAACTCAGTATTCTTCCACAAGTTCCCTAGGGCTGGGGTTGGACATCCTACTACTCACCTACATACATATATATAACGGAGTGAGCGAAAGCCCCGTGAATAACATCAAAGTAGGTTATGTGAATGAGTTCTAATACACAAATAAAATCATTGTCATAATAGTCTCGTATTATAGCGGAACGACCTCCAGTCCAATATATGACAAAATGACCTCGAGTCCAACATATACAGAGATACAGAGCAGAACAGATCATACTTTTCAGAATGACCTCGTACATTACGACCTCGAGTCTATTCAATTACAGCTATATAATGACCATTGGGTCAACACATAATAGTTACCCAAACTTATCAGATATGCAGAGAATCAGATAATCGGAATGACCTTGGGTCCATCTTATCAGATATACAGAATGACCTTGGGTCCATCTTATCAGATATACAGAATGACCTTGGGTCCATTTCAGTTGTACAAAATGACCATGGGTCCATCATATGCTTCCATGATTGTCAATCACATTTATAAATCTTTTACGAATCAGATAGACAGAAGGCTCATTCATAACACAAAATCATAAGTTCAAAAAACTTACAATATTGGTCTCATTTAGAAAATAATATACATAAAAATATCTTTACTAAGATATTAGTCACAATGATTCGGTTGCTGATACGTCCTCGTGGATGGACATACACAATTCATAAACAGATACACAAATTGGATCACATTGCTTATTCAATCCATTTGTTAACTTATTTAATTCTCTTATGCTTGTTTCTAATCTTTAATTCATTTAGAATGCTTAGTTCATGCCTAAGAATGCTCAAAAAGGAAAGAGAATGGAGTTATGAGCGGAATATCACTTTCAAAATATGCTGAAACAAGACACTTCGCTCGAGCACACCACATGGTCTGCAAAAGTATGGTCGCTCGAGCAGACCACATGGTCTGCAAAAGTACAAGATGGTCCGAATATAGGCTCGATGGTCGCTCGAGCCATGATACAAAATGTAAAGGTGGTCGCTCAAGCGGTAACTCGGTTGCTCGAGCCAACTTGCCAATGTCTGCAAAAAATGTTGTGTGCATACAAAGTGTGCTTGAGCGACAACTTGTTTGCTCAAGCGATGTGGTCTAATTCTAGGTTTTCCGAAACTGATTTTGAACTTCAAAACATATATTAGAAGTGTGTAAGCTTGCATGACATGCTCCAATCTTCAAATAGACAACTATAAGTATGGATATAAAACCAATTTACAAATACGAAAGAATTCACCATGCCTGAGTCAATTGACTTCAAATTCTTTTCCAAAGCTTTAAAAAAACATGCAATTGAATTTCAAAACAACATAATTCATGGATGCATGTGTGATATGATCTTTAATTCAAACTTAGAGGACATGAACCATGCTCAAAAGTATGAAAATTTCTTAATTCATGCATGCATGTATGAATTGACTCTAATTCATCATCTTTAGCTCATCTCTTGTATCTAAATTCATAATCTTCATGAATACACAAATTGATGACTTAAACTCACAAATTAAGGTTCAAAAGCTTACCTAGGATCTTCAATTTAAACTTAATTTAGCAAAATCTTGAGCCTCTCTTCCAAATTCTTTAACCTCTCAGCCAAATTCTTCAAGAATCAAGCATCTCTCTCTCTCTAAGTTGATGTTCTCCCTCTCTCTAAAGCTCTCTCTCAGATTTGGAGTACAAAATAATGAGCTTAATCTCATTCTTAACATATATAAGGCTTAATTAACTTAATACACTAATCAAGGATTAAGCTAATTAATTAGAGCTTAAAGCTAATCAAACTTAATTAAATTGAGTTAATCTAATTAATTTAATTTAAATCAAATTTTAATCAAACTTCTTAGTAGGCTATAAAAATTATGTCAATCACAATAAACTAATCAATTTATGTTTCTAATGCCATTAAGGCCTTCAATTTTAGATTATAGCAGAAATCACAACAGATATCTCTATGGTTAACAGATATGAATCCAAAAATCACATTAAACACATAATTAGCATTCAAATTGACACTAAGCACATAAGCACATGCAAAATTAAAGGATTGAAGGCATAATGCATAACGGGGTTGTCACATTCGTCCCTCCTTTAAGAAATTCAGTCATTCAAACTTGCATTACCTTGAGTCAAAAACAATTCGGGATACCCTTGCCTCATTTCATCCTCTTTCTCTCAAGTTGCCTTGTACCATAATGTTCCTTCCATTCCACCTTAGCCATAGGGTTCACCTTAGCTCTTAATTGTTTCACTTGTTGATCGATGATTTGTATTAGTCTTTCTTCATATTCTATATTATCGTCAACAACTATCTGGTGATAATTAATAACATAGAACGGATCTCAAAGGCAGCCCCTCAACATTGACACGTGGAACACATTATGCATTTGCTCCATCTCTGGCAGTAGAGCAATTTCGTATGCAATTGGACCTAGCTTTTCCAAAATCTAAAATGGCTCAATATATCAGGGTGACAACTTGCCTTTCTTGCCAAACCTTGTTTGGCCCTTCATCGGAATCACATGAATGAACACATGATCACCAAATTCATACTGAAGAGCCCTTCTCTTATGATCTGCATAACTATTTTGCCGACTCTGTGCAGTTTTAAGGTTTTGCTGAATGACTTTAATCTTTTTGGTAGTCATTTGCACAATCTGGGGACCAAGCAAAACTCTATCCCCAACTTATGTCCAACAGACCGATGATCTACACCTTCTACCATACAAGGCTTTGTACGGTGCCATACCAATACTAGAATGAAAACTGTTGTTATAAGCAAACTTTGCCAATGGTAAAGAAGCCTCCCAACTTCCTTAAAAATCCAAGGCACACATTCGGAGCATATCTTCCAAGCTATGTATAGTCTTCCCAGATTGTCCATCGTTTCATGGATGCAAAGTAGCACTAAATTTCAATTCGGTCCCCATTGCTCTTTGAAGACTTTTCTAGAGTCTAGATACAAATTTTGGATCCATAGCAAAAACAATAAATACCGCTATACAAACAAATAATCTCATCGACATAAATAGTGGCAAGTCTATGAGCATCATAAGTAGTCCTTACAAGTAGAAAATTTGCATATTTAGTCAACCTATCCACAATAACCTAGATAGAGTTCATACCTCTAGGTGTCCAAGGTAGACCAACGATGAAGTCTATGGTTATGTGTTCCCATTTCCATTCCGAAATAGAGAGAGACTGAAGTAATCCTGTCGGCTTCTAATGTTCAGCTTTGACTTGCTGGCGCTGAAGACACTTAGATACATATTCTGTAATCTCTTTCTTCATGCTAGACTACTAACAACTTTGTTTCAAATCCCGATACATTTTGTTGTTTCCTGGATGCATTGCAAATATTGACTTATGAGCTTCTTCTAAAATTTTCATCTTCAAATCAA